GCCCCCCCAGTGCCTGCTCCCCAGGGCTGCTCTCCAGCCCTGCACCCCCAGCCTGGGCTGGGTCTGGGGGTTGTCCTCACCCAGGGGCAGCACCTTGCCCTTGGCCTGGTGGAACCCCACGAGGTGCCCTCAGTCCCACCTCCCAGCTTGTCCAGGGGTGCAGCACTCAGCAGAGCTCTGGTGCTTCTCCCCGTGGTGCAGAGCCAGCAGAAGCCCCTCACCTTGGGTGCCCAGGCTGGTGAAGATGGAGGCAGGGGGGGACGTGCCCCGTGAGTTCTCAGCAGTGAGTGTGATCTTGTAGCCCCCCCTGGGCACGGTGCTGGTGTAGCTGGTGTGGGTGGTGAGGTGTCCTTGCACTGCAGGGGGGCTCCGTGGGGCCAGGGCCTCCAGGGTCACTCTGTAGTGGAGGATTCTTCCTCCTGCCTCCCACCTGCTCAAAGCCTGTGAGGAAAGTGCACTTGTCACTCTCTTCTCCTCCTGATGCTCCAAAGAGCTGCTGGTGCCAAGCTGAGGTGCCCCAGGATGGTTTCAGACCTGCTCCTGGAGGAAAGGGTGGTTGGCTCTTTGTGAACCAAATATTCCACTTGCTTTTAAACGAATCTAGAACCATGGAGGAGTCTGTGTGTCACACCTACAAGCCCTCCTGAAGAAGGCTTTAGCAAGCTCACGTGCTCAGGCAGGGCTGTGGTTTGTCCTCCCACGTTGGGCTTCCCATGGAGAAGCTGCCACATCTCCTGGAGAGGTTTCTTATGAAGGGATGGCTGGGGATCCTCATCTACAGGAGCTTCTCCCAAACCCACATGCTCATGCTGCTCTATTTAAGTGAGGAACTTTCTCCCCAGGGTAACTTCTCTTTCTTGTCTCTTCTAATACTAAAGAGGTTAATTCTGAGAGTGTTATTTGGTGGCCAACAGCACGTAGCAGCTCATGTTCTTTGGTAACCAATGACCTGGTTTTAGGTGTTTCTCCATCAAAACCTGGAGGAAACATCAGTGCCACAGAGATTGCTGGCTCCCTTGTTGAGACTGTTTTCCTAAAATCATGGAATCATAGAAGGGTTTGGGTTGGAAAGGACCTTTCCCAGAACTCCTGTCCTCACCACAGCAAACAGTGGCATGGGGAATGAGGAGAGGGGATGGTAATTAGAAAACAAATTAGGAATTTTGTGTGGTTGTTATCTGTCCCATTAGATACATCATCAGGGACACAGGATCTCACCAGGGGAGGTTCACGTTGGAAATTAGGAGAAATTTCTTCCTGGAAAGGGTTGTCCAGGGCAGAGGTGGAGTCCCCACCCCTGGAGGGGTTTCCAAGCCGTGGAGATGTGGGGTGAGGGACACGGGGCCGTGGGGATCCACAGGGTTCCTCTCTAACCTTGCTGATCCTTTCTGCCTCCATTCAGGTGTCACTTAGCTTACCTTCCAAAAAAGAGAGAGGTTCACTCTTTGGGTGTCCACATCCTGCTGTCGGTACCAGAGGTCCAGGAGCCCAGTTGGTGCTGGTGTGGAAGGACAAGGTGTGAGCAGCATCAATGACCATGTCTTAAAGCAACCAAACAAGAGGCTGTGAAGGTGAAGGAGGTAAACCCCCTGGAACAATTCAAATGGAAGGTTTAAAATGTCCCTGAGATGATGGGAAATGTGAGAGCCTGTGTTTGCTCTTGCAGCTGGAGATCAGCTGGGTTGGTGATGGTGCTCATGGAGAGAACAAGCTAAAGAGAGGGTTTTGTTCTGCTGGTGATGGTCTGTTCTCCAAAGTAAAGTGACAGGACAAGGGGAAACGGCTCAAGTTGCCCCAGGGGAGGTTGAGGTTGTCCCTGAGGAACAATTTCTTGCCCTGGAGGGTTGCCCAGGGCTGTGCCAGGCTGCCCAGGGCAGTGGTGGAGTCCCCACCCCTGGAGGGGTTTCCAAGCCGTGGAGATGTGGTGTGAGGGACACGGGGCAGTGGGGACCTGGCAGTGCTGGGGGGTGGCTGGACTTATATTTTAAAGGTCTTCTTGAACCAAAACAGTTCTATGATTCTATGACTTGACCCTTTGCCTGGTAGCCAGGATGGCTCCCAAGGAAGCCAACACATCCCAGTGGCAGCATTAACTCTCATCTTTGCACTAAAAGAGGGAGATTGAGACTAGAGAGAAGGAAGAAATTGTTGACCCTGAGGGTGTTGAGCCCCTGGCCCAGGTTGCCCAGAGAGGTGGTCGCTGCCCCATCCCTGGCACCATCCCAGGTGAGGTTGGATGAAGCTCTGAGCACCCTGCTCTAGCTGCAGATGTCCCTGCTCCCTGCAGGGGGTTGGACCAGAAGACCTGGAAAGGTCCCTTCCCACCCAAACCACTCTATGATTCTGTGACCTGTAGGATTTTGCTGTCTGGCTCTAGGCAACAAAAGTCTTTAACATCTCATCAGAGGTAGCTTAAAAAATCTTTCCATGCTTCTCCTTGTAGTCCCAGAGAGACTGGAAACAACATTTTGACCTCCCAAAATAACACCAAACTTCTGCCTGCAGAATCTGGTGAACAATGTTCTCCAACAGTTCAGGATCAGGGATGCGTGAGGAAAGCCAACGTGACAGAAGTTAACCAAGCTTGGTTCCTCAAGGTCTCTGACCAAAATAAACCCATCCAATCCAAACAATAATTGCTGCTAATAACCCAAGCAGCTGGAGGTGTTGCACAACCTCAGCTAGAACAGGTTTCCTATATCCAAAGACAAAAAAATCCACAGGGCCAGCAACGTATGGAGCAATTTTCTCTTTGGTAGCTGCACGTGGTGACTGGAAGAGAAAGAAGAAGCAGGGCTGAGAGAAGAAATAAAACCAGAGGAAGGGAAAAAGTTAAAAAGAGCTTTATCAAAGCAGGAAAAAAAGGGGAAGAAAACAAGGAAAAAGGATTTTTTTTTTTCAAAGCAGGAAAAAAAATGGGATCACATCTGTTGGACTCCAGCCTGGGTTTGGAAATTCATTTCATGTGTGGACAACACTAAAGAGCTGGGGGAAAAAAAAAGAGATTCTCACTTGTGCTTTATGAAATCCCTGTTCATGTGTGTGGCAAGCTTAGAGAAAGAGGGAGAACATGATTTCCTTGGAAAGGAACAGTCTTGAATCTGCAAACTCATGGGTAGAACTTCAGCTCCTTCAAAGAAAGGCAGCTGTGGTGTAGCCAGAGCTTCTCATTTGCAGCCTCTCCTTGATGTCATCAAATCCAGGGACAGAAAAAGCTGCTTAATGAGTTAAAAATCTTGTTTTAGAGCCCTGCTGGGTCGAGGGGAGATGCCCACCAATGCCATAGCAAGCTGAGGTGGCTTGAGAAGGTTGAGAAAACTTTGGAGAGGAAGGTGGGGGAGGGAAGGAAAGAGAAGTTCACACCTTTCTGCATCAATCAATGCTGCTTGCAGAAACTCGATGCTGCCAGGAGTGGTAAATAGGGTGAGTAATAGTGGCACTAACCCAAAGAGCTTATAGTAATTCACAAAAAAAAGAGCCAAGGACAGGCAAGGAGGAGATGAAAGGAGGGGATGCCAAAGCAGCCGACGGGTCTCTGTTGAAACACAAACTTCTGAGAAACTTTCTTCTCTTAGAAGAACTGAAAGTTTTGCAGCTTGTGAGCTGGTGCAGCTCGAGGTGAAGGGAGGTGGCTATGGGAACACGTGGTCAGCCCCAGGGAGCCAACGTTGGAGCTGGCAGAAGCCAGCCCTCAGGTTGGTGCTGTGTGTACCTGGAGTCTGCTGTGACCTCCTCTGGGGCAGGAATGAGCTTTGCTTGCCAAATTCCTGGTGGGATTTCTCCCAAACACGTGAGCAGGTTCATGGAGTCATAGAGTGGTTTGGGTGGGAAGGGACCTTTCAAGGTCATCCAGTCCAACCCCCCTGCAGGGACAGGGACATCTGCAGCTAGAGCAGGGTGCTCAGAGCCCCGGCCAACCTCACCTGGGATGGTGCCAGGGATGGGGCAGCGACCACCTCTCTGGGCAGCCTGGGACAGGGGCTCACCACCCTCAGCATCCAAAATTGCTCCCTTCTCTCTAGTCTCAATCTCCCTCTTTTAGTTTCAAACCATCCCCCCTTGTCCTGTCCCAACAGTTCCTGCTCAAAAGTCCCCCCCCAGCTTTCTGGCAGGCCCCTGGCAGTCCTGGCAGCCCCCAGGGGGTCTCCCCAGCTGGAGCCTTCTCCTCTGGGGCTGCCCCAGCCCAACTCTCTCCTGCCGGGCTCCCAGCAGAGGGGTTCCCCCCTCGGGGCATTGCTGGGGCTCCTCTGGCCCCGCTCCAGCAGGTCCCTGGCTCTGCTGTGCTGAGGACTCCAGAGCTGCCCCAGCACTGCAGGGGGGTCTCACAGAGCTGGCAGAGGGGCAGGATCCCCTCCCTGCCCTGCTGACTTCAGACCTTCTCAGCAAACTCCTGAAATTCCTGTTTGGCAGGAAACAGGAGCCGCTTCATTTTCTGTTCATTAAGAAAGCAATTGTCTTACAGAAGCTTCTTCCCTGTTGGCTCTGGCTCTGGATCTACAGAGACTCTGCAAGCAAAAACCCAGCTTCATGAGCTCAGATTTCCACTTGGAGGCAAAGGTTGGAGGTGGACTTGGCACAGGAGATGCCATGTTGTGTGTACCTGCTTCTGGAGTCCGGGCTTGGAACGTGCTCCAGCTACTCCACAGTCCTCTTTCAGGGTGGATTTTGCAGCTGCCCTGGAACTCGTAGGCTGTGTGAGGCTCCAGACCATCCAGACTGCACCTCTCAGCCCTCAAGCTTTCCACCTTGAAAGAAGATGAAGGAAATGTGACATTAAACTCCCAAGGAAAGGTTGAAGGCAGTGATGGGCTGAGTTGCCAATGCCCAAAGGAAGCCTCACCAGCCAAAACACGTCTTTAAAAACCAAGGGGGGAAACCCCTGAGCTCAGGCAGCTTTAATAACTCGAAGATTGATGCAATGAATCATCAGCCTTGCAGTTCTTTGCCTGAAAAATCCCTCTTTTCATCATGTGGAGGTAAAACATTTATGTCCGTGGGTTTTACTGGGCTTCAAGGAACACATTTGGTTTAGCATGGAAAATAGAAGCCAAGACTTCATAGAATCATGGAATGTCTGGGCTGGAAGGGACCTCCAAAAGTCATCTAGTCCAACCCCCCCACCATAAGCAGGGACATCTCCAACTAGATCAAGCTGCTCAATCACTACTATGGACGTTAGGGAAAGCACAAAAATTTGGGAATCACACGCCTGATGAGTAGTGATGAATATTCCAATAAATCATGGGTCAAATGGAAGATCTGATTCTTCAGTTCATCACCAGGACAAAAGAGGAAAGATTCATGCATGTGTTTTTTGACAGGATCAGTGTTTTACCTGCAATTCTAGACCAACGGTTTCGACCCAGAGGCAATAGTTTTCCTTAAATACAGCATTAAAGAACAGAGAGAGGCAAATTTGGATGAGCTGATTATAGGAAGAAATAATGAAAAAAATCCTTCAATTAACCTCCAAGGTTGATCATTCCCTTTACTCCCCAGCAGAGGATTACCATGCTCCAGGAGTGCCTGGCGAGCGGCCGGTACCTCAGCCTGCAGTGCTGCGCTCGCGCTCCGTCGTGCCAAAAAAAGGTGCAGTGGGCCATGGAGGAGTTTCCAAATTCCACTGAAAAGTTGGGAGGATGTGGTTTCACTAGCAGCCAAAAGAGAAAGAGGGAGACAAGGCTCAGAGACAGCTCAGCTCGGAGCAGGGAGGGTTACGTGGGGAAGGATTTACTGGGTTGGACTGGACGGATGCTTTTCTGAGGGATCTAAAGTGCTCAGAAGGTTCTCACGTCTTTCTAAAGGGTTGGGACCAACTAGAAGATGATAAGTAAAAGGTTTACCTATGTCTAGCAACGTGAACACCAGTGGCTGTGAAGAGGCACTGCCTAGCTCATTGGAGGCAGCAACCACCAGGGTGTAAGTAGAGTCAAAACTCAACTTGCTCAGAGCCAGCGAGCCAACCTTCTCATTCAGACCTTCTTCTGAGGCACAGAAGACATTTGTCCCATTTGATAGCCTGGAACAGAAGGAGGATGCTTGGTTAATGCTGGCCTGGACACCAAGAAAGCTGGATCTTGGGGCACTGGGGCTTGGTTCACATCCCCTTGTGCTGCTCCTTGGGGCTGAAGCTCCTTCAGTAGCTTCTCCGAAGGTTGGTTTGCAAGGGAGGACCATTGGGCTGGGAGCTAGGTAGGTCACCTGCCCCCCCTGAAAGGTCTCTCTGCTTCAATAGGGTGCTTACAGGAAATAATCCTCTGGGTAAATTGGTAGGAAAGGTGTTGTAGTGCTGCTTGGGGTTTATTGCAAACAGAGGGAACACTTCTGGATTTCCACTGAGCTCTGAGTAAGTTCCTTTTAACAGTATGATGGTGACCTAATGTTGGTTGCCTCATATTTCTCTACAGTTGAGCATAGGTGTTGGTAGGTCATCCATAGATGATGGATTTTGAAGGTTTGTTTTGGTTTTTTAACATAAGTTAGTGATTAGAAATGCAATTTAATGGTCAGACTGCACAACTTCAAACCCAACTTTTAGTCCTCACTCTGTCCTTCAGCCCACGGCCTTGGATAACTCATTTTGCCTCTCTGTGTGTTTTCTTCCACCTGAATCAGAGATGTTTTTGTCATGACCTTTTGGGTTTTGTAATATACTTAATAAATCATATTTCTAGCTCTATGTCACAACAATGACAGGACTTGCTATCCACACCTCTCTACCTGCATGTTCTCCTTCTACTTAGAGAACAGCAAAAGGTTTCTACAAGCTCCTAAGAAAGGTGCTGCTACCTTGGCCAACAGAAGTAGGTGAAGAAGAAGATGATTAAGGAGAAAAAGGTGATGAAGAACAAGGAGAAGAACAAAGGTGAAGAAGAGTGAGTCTCCCAGGGGAAGGAGATGGTCAACGAGCAGCACCTTGGAAGCAAACAGGGACCAGTTCAGCCTACCCAGTGATTTGTGAAAGGCAAAAGGAACTCATTCCACCCAGATGTAGAGGGAGAGATTTAGACAAGATGGAAGGAAGAAATTTTCTGCACTGAAGGTGGTGAGCCCCTGTCCCAGGCTGCTCAGAGAGGTGGTCGCTGCCCCATCCCTGGCACCATCCCAGGGGAGGTTGGATGGAGCTCTGAGCACCCTGCTCTAGCTGCAGATGTCCCTGCTCCCTGCAGGGGGTTGGACCAGATGGCCTTGAAAGGTCCCTTCCCACCCAAACCATTCTATGATTCCATGGTGTTTGCTTGAATAGAGTTTTTTACTAAGGTTCCACCTACACGTGGCAATGACTGAGATCCAAAGGTCTCCTAACACGCCGTGTAGAACCTTTTTTTGCTGCAGAAGTCACCCCCAAAGGCTTAGCCAAGCCAAAGGAAGCAAAAATACAGGTTGGTTCTAAAATGAGAAGCAAAAAGAACCCGTTTCCAACCCAAGCCCTTCTCCATCTCCCTATCTAACCTTGGAGACGATGAGCAGCTCAGCTCGTAGGGTTTCTGGAGCGGGCACTGCTGAGCACAGAGGCTCAAACTACAGGAGATCCATCAGAAAGCAGCTCTGGGACATGATTATGGGTTTCAAAGCACCTAAGTGCCCGTGCTACTTACTGCAGCAGGTAGGTAGTGTTGATGTACGTGGACCTCCCTTTGTCCCAGCTGCAGGTGGGGCGGCCGTCGGTCCCGTACTGGACACACGACACGTTTCGTGGCTCATCTGGAGGAACTTAAAGAGATATTCTTAGTTTCTTCCTTTAAAGATGTCGATAGGAGACGTTTTAGACTTTTAAAAAAAAGAGATTATGGACAAATAAGTGGAAAATACTCAGGCTGCTGAGTTTTCTAGGGGAGAACAGCTGAGCCTGTCACCCGTGCACCCTGTTGAGGTGTCTAACACTTGAGCAGAAGCCCAATGACTTTACAAGATGAATACAAGTGCTTAAGAGCTCTCCAGACTGGGCACTACATGCTTTGCTTGAAGCAATCAACCATTATTCTTATTTTATTTCTAAAACAAAGCAGCACAGATAGAGCAGATGATGGGTGCAGCAGCCTAGAAGAAAATTGAAGGTTTCCTTAGAATTTTCCTTACAAGTCCCCTCTGTGCTGGAATGATGGGTGAGTGTCAAGGGTGGAACAGGAGGAAATGTGGTATTTGCTCTGAGGAGGCAGTTTTATTTATGAAAAATGGACTTGCACAGTCCCAGAGAGGGATATTTTAGGTACAAAAAAAGCTACGAAAAGACTTTTTGGTTTTGATCTCTTTCCTTTTCTAGGAAAAACCACCCACTGCTAGTAACACATCTCAGAGGTACAACAGGAAACCAAGACAAAGTAATGAAATTCTCCTTACTCCCAGATTGAATTTCGATGCCACAGATGAGTTTTTTCTTATGCTCACAAACCCTTTTGCAGGTGAACACGTGTTTGCCCCAGGCACGGACTGGGAACGTGGCGCTCACTGAGCTGCTGGAGCTGCTGTTGAGTTCAGAGCTGTTCAGGAAAATTGCTATCCTGCACTGCTGGGGCTGGGGGCTCAGCTGGCACAAGAGGGTGACGTTGGTACCAGGCTGGACATGAGCTGTGCTCGTGGTCATGTTCCCTTTGGCGCAGACCTCCGCGGCGCTGTGGGCACCTTTGGTGGCAGGCAGAGTCCTCTCGTGGCATGTTTCTGGAACAGGGTGGGAAAACAGGCCTTGAATGAAGGTAGGTAGAGTGCTTGAGGAAGAGAGGCTGCCTCTGTGGGGATGCTGATGTGCCCAGTCTTCCCCAGGCTGGTTAAACTGGGGTCAGCAAGTATTGGGTAGCTCCCAGACATCCTACAACCAACCACAACCCCAGGCAAAATCCAGCAGAACTCCTTTTTCCCAGACTCCCAGCATGGTGGGGTTGGAAGGGACCTCTGGAGATCATCTCATCCCACCCCCTGCTCCAGCAGCTCACCCACAGCAGGGTGCCCAGGATGGTGCCCAGGGGGGTTTGGGATCTCTCCAGAGCAGGAGACTCCACAGCCTCTCTGGGCAGCTGCTCCAGGCTCGGCCACCCTCACCCCAAAGAAGTTTCTCCTCCTGCTCAGGTGGCACCTCCTGGGTTCCAGTTGGTGCCCGTTGCCCCTTGTCCTGTCCCTGGGCACCACTGACCAGAGTCTGGCCCCAGCCTCTTGCCCCCCGGGGGCCCTTTAGCTCTTGCTCAGCACTGCTCAGATCCCCTCTGAGGCTTCTCTTCTCCAGCTCAGCAGCCCCAGGGCTCTCAGCCTGGCCTGGCACAGAGATGCTCCAGCCCCTCAGCAGCTCCACAGCCTCTGCTGGACTCTCTCCAGTAGCTCCTTGTCTCTCTTGAACTGGGCTTTAAGGCAGCATCTGTATTTTTCAGTGAAGCAGTGGCAGGTATGTCTCTGCTGAAGCAACAAGATGTTTTTCTGACTCACAGAGACCTCCCCTGGCACATTATCATATTTCCCCAGTGACCCAGGGCTGAGATGGGGATGGACAACCCTGCACTTGCTGTCACTGTTGGCTCCAGGACACATGCTGGGGGCAAACAAGCTGAGCAGCAGCAGAAGGTAAGGGCAAAAGCCTGAGCACCATTTCTCCCCCCTTGCTCCTTCTCCTTCCTCTCCTCTTCCAGCTGTAGAGTGGTTTTCTCATGCAACCATCAGCCCTACCTTGAATGAAACCAAATAACCTCCCCATCGTTACAGAGCTTCTCAGCAGCTGTTTTCTGCACACTGCCTTCAGCACCCAAATGGAACAGGCTGGTGGTGTTAATTATGCATAAAAACACCCCCCAGCTGCCAAGGCCTGAACAAATATCCCTCTAAACTCCTTCTATACTCTGTACAGGGCTTCTGCTGCAAGCCATGGCAATATCTCAGGAGGATGTTCAGCAGTAGCACTGGATCCAAGGGGCTCTTCCAGAAATTACAGTATAAACCTAATTAAACATCACATTTTGCCCTCCTCAATAAGAAAGATATTTACCAGCCTACCATGCCAAAGCTGAAAAAAAACCACCCTTAATTTGCCTGAGTGGTTCTTTGAAGTGATAATTGCTAGGTAGGGGGAAAAAAAAAATCCATAGATCTTACCTGCTGTGAAGTGCACCAACAATGAGATTGCTGCAGGCACAGTCCATGCAAATACCATTTTGCTCCCTAGAGAGAGAGAGAAATACCATTTACCAGTTCCTAAAAAGCAGGAAAATCCTTTGCAATGTATAGATTTCTATTTTACTACTTCAGAAAATCCAGAATATTTCTTTTATGAGACCTTTCTGATTCGTTTTCTGTGCCTGTTTTGCTGAGTGAGGACTTTTCAGATCCTATCTGAAGCAGCAGCTGATTTTTTAGGTGGTTGTCCCCAGCCAGGCAGAAGAATGGCAGAGTTTTGGGTACTTCAGAACCCTGTGCTTTAAAACCAGACAGCTCTGTGATTTGGAGAAGGAAATATTTATCCCTTCCCTCCTGAAGACCCCCTGCAAGACCACAACCAAAACTTAGCCTGTGAAGGACCTTCAGTCCTCCTCATGCTGTTCTTCCCCAAGATCTCATTTGCAAGCCCTGCTCCAGCACTGCCCAAGCTCTCCCAAAATCCCACACCCTGATTTGGATGGCACAGCCCCATTTATGGACACACCCCCCCCTCCAAGGGAGCCCCGGGTGCTTTTCATCCCCTCTGGGCTCAGACTTTCAGCAGATGACCCCAAATCCAAGTGCACTGATCCCAGCCTGGATGACTAACACAGACTCGACGTTCCCAGGCTTGAGTATGACACATAAAATTTTGGCTGAGACCTTGGGAACGAGCAGTTTTACCTTTTTTTTTCTGACTGCTTTCCAAGAAGAAATCCCTCCCACGGGGCTTATTGATGACTGTTTACCCTCACGGAGAGACACCCACCCTCCAACCAAACAAAACAGCTTTTGACACGTTTTAAACTCCAAAACTCTGACAAATGCAAACCTGTGCCACGTCTAGATGTGCCAGTTTAAATCCACACTCTAGTGCTGGAAGTTATGGGCACAAATGATTCATGGTCAGCCTAAGCTAAGCTCAGTATGTTCCCATATATTTTGCAGCCAGCATTAACAACAATTTCCCTTTTTTTGCTGTTCCCCTGCAGAGCTACAATGAGAATATCTCAAATACTTCAGAATTGAACACACCAACAAGCACTTTCTCTGATTCCTGAGCTGCAGCTGTTTTAACAAGATGTCATATTGGAAACAAACTACTCTAAAATGAAACTTTAAATCCTGACTGCTCTTCATAGAATGGTTTGGGTTGGGATAGACCTTGAAGACCATCTTGTTCCAACCCCATTGCCATGAGCAGGGACACCTCCAACTGGACCCAAGGGGCACTTCCATAGGGGTACATTGCACCCTATAGTCTTTGCCCTTTATATATTAATATAAAACCAAGCCCAAAAGTTATTTCAGCTTGTTTTTCTAGAAGAAGATGGGATCCATCCCATGCTTTTGAAGCAAAACGGTATCTGAGAAGGCTGAAACACAGAAGATTTGCCAAAATGCATATTGCTGCACTTGATCTTAGCCAAAATAAAGCTTGGTGTTGTCAGTGGTTCTGTGAAATCCAGATGTTCTTCAGCCAGAGAGGTTCGTGCCTTGCCACAGAGCCTCAGCTTGACAGAGACACTTCACACCTAGGTAATTAGTAACTGTAAGGATGAGCAATCACAGCACCAAGGTTCTTCAAGTAAATGCTCTGCCTTCCAATAAACTGAAAATGCCCAATGACTGCGTAAACATCCTTCAGAGAGCTTGCTTTCTGGCAGCAAAACCATACCCAAAATACTTGAGTCAACAGGCAAAAGGGGGCTGGCTTCAAATTTGAATCAAGGCTTTGCTGAGGTAGGTGCTAGACAGTTTATGCAGCGTGGTGAGAGTGCAGCAGAGCGTAATAAACTGCAATCAGAGTGAAATGTTGACAAAAGAATGAGAACTCACCTTCAGAATCAGAGAGAACCTTCAGAATCAGGAGCAACCAGAGCAGAAATACACGGGGGAAAAAAACAAAGAAGGAAAAAAATCTCCGTGTTCCACATCAGTGAAGGGAAATGATGTTGCTGTGCGTGTGTTAAAGGAAAGATGAAGGATATTGTCCCTGTGGGTGCAAGGCAGAGGAAGTGCAGAAGGTGCTCACAGAGCTGATGCCTGTTTGTGAAGACTTATCTCTACGAAATCTCAGCTGAAGACACAAGAGCTACAGACCACACGTTTTGTTTACCTATGGATTCCTTGTAACGGCACCGTCAGCTCCAGTTCTGAAATGATATCACTGGTAAAGCACAAAACCCCTCCAGTTTGCTTTTAAGCAACTTTTTATCCCCCTTGCCCCCTCTAACCCCTAAAAAAGCTCCTTGCAAAGCAAGTGTCTGCTCCAAGGCTGTCACACGGGACCTGCAGGAACAACCAACCCATTGACCCCTGTGGAAAAGAGGAACAGTTCTCCCTGTTACATCTCACCCAGTGAAAATCAGCTGTTTGTGCCCAAACTGCCCTGTGGCTGGCACATGATGAACAACACGGGCTGTGTTTTTAGGGGATCTTCCCACCCCTGGCAGCCCCAGCAGTGGCACCCCACGCTCTGGGGTTGGGGACCAGCCACCGTGGTGCCCGAGGTGACTCCTCAGCAGAGCCACCGAGCTCAAAGGGGTCAGGAAGAGCTCGTGGGGTGAAGGGAAAGGAAGGTGGTGTTGCTAAAGGATGGTTCTTCAGGGCTGTGCTAATCCCAGGCTGCAGCCAGCACCCCTGGGCAGGTGATGAGCACCCCAGGGCAGGCAGCATCCCAAGGCAGAGAGCATCCTGAGTCAGGAAGCATCCCAAGGCAGTGAGTATCCCAGAGCAGGGAACATTCCTGGGGAGTCAGCATCCCAGGACAGAGAGCATCCCAAGGCTGGAAGCATCCCTAGGGCAGACATCATCTGGGGACAGGCATCATCCCAGGGCAGGGGGCATCTAGGGGAAGAGGGCACCCCGGGGCAGGCAGCATCCCAAGGCAAGCAGCATCCTGGCACTGGGAGCATCCCAGGACAGGCAGCATCCCAAGGCAGGGAGGGGAGGGGGGGGGGAAATGCTTGTTCCCAAAACCCCCCATCCCTGGGGCAGCCAGCACGGCGAGGGGGGAGGGGGGAGACTGACCCTGAGCCAGGCTCACTCACCATGGAGCTCCTGCTCTGCTCCCACCTGGGAACAAGTGACTTGGTGAGAGGCCCCCCTGACCCAGAGCCCGTGGTGGGAGGGAAGGGGGTGAGCAGAGGAGGGGGGAAGCTCTTGAGTGATGCTGCTGGGACTGGCAAGAGCAAAAACTGCAGTTAGAATAAAATACCCCCCACTCCTCCTCCCCCCCCTCCTCTTGCTGGGAGAGAAGGGCTTGTCCCCAGATGCCTCCAGCCCCAGGGGTTAGCCACTGATTTTTCATTTCTCTTCCATGCACTTCTTGCTTTCCCTCATTTTTTAGCACTCCTGGAGCCACCACCCTAGTTAAAAGAAATTTAAGAATTTTTTTTTTTAATGGAAAAACCTTGTGTTACCATCTTTCCTTCTCTTCACTGGGCACCAATGACACAAACCTGATGTTCCCTTCAGCATCTCCCTGGCGTGATTAACTCTTTCCAGCTTGATAACCACAGCACAGAGATTTTGGGAGG